GCAAAGTAGTGATTAAATAGTAGTGAATAAATTAAATAGTAGTGAATAAATCCACTGTGAATCAGGAGGCACGGTGTTAGGTAGTGTTGGCGGTGGCAGCAGCGACAAGGTAGGGGGGTGACCGCCTTACCCACGCAGTCACACTGTTCTGAGGGAGGGAGGGAGGGAGGGGGTCCGGTGGAGTGGTTGGTCTGTGTGAGAGAGAAAGAAAGAGAGGAGGCTGAGAGTTCAAAGGTCACCTGTTGAGCTGTGATATTAATCTAAATCCTGGTCGTTTCTCCTCAGCCCAAGGCTGCTGCTCCCTTGAGAGAGAGAAACATCACGCTCGTTTAGTAGTTTACGCGAGCTCAGAAAGACATGGATGCTGAGAGAGATTCCCGTTGTACATGGTTAGTATAGGAGAGAGGCAGAGCAAGAGAGCATAGGTTGGAAATTCTAAGGTGAGGAGTGAAATCTGGGAGAGGGGGCTGGATACAGGTCTACTAATGTGGACTGACTACAGGTCTGGAAACAGGTCTACTAATGTAGACTGACTGACTACAGGTCTGGATACAGGTCTACTAATGTGGACTGACTGACTACAGGTCTGGATACAGGTCTACTAATGTGGACTGACTGACTACAGGTCTGGAAACAGGTCTATTAATGTGGACTGACTGACTACAGGTCTGGAAACAGGTCTACAATACTGTCTAAACGTATAGAGTAAGTAAAGGAACCCCCTAAAAAATATTAATGTCCACCAGACATGGGGTAACTATAGTTTTAACTATGCTTTGTGGAACGTAACAATTTTTACAAATCCCCAAAAATGACTAGGATTTTGCCTGTGCTTAGTTCCATTCCGTTAATTTTTTATCCTAAAAAACTCCCAAGTCCTTAACGATTACAAGCATACCCATAACATGATGAAGCCACCACTATTCTTGTTGCATACAGGATGCATGTTTTGGAATGTTTGTATTCTGTACAAGCTTCCTTCTTTTCACTCTGTCAATTAGGTTTAGTATTGTGGAGTAACTGCAACGATCCATCCTCAGTTTCTCCTATCACAGCCATTAAACTCTAACTGTTAAAGGGTGAAATCCCTGAGCGGTTTCCTTCCTCTCCGGCAACTGAGTTAGGAAGGACGCCTGTATCTTTGTAAAGACTTGTGTATTGATACACCATCCAAAGTGTAATTAAGAACTTCACCATGCTCAAAAGGATATTCAATGTCTGTTTTTTTCCCCCATCTGCCAATAGGTGCCCTTCTTTGCGAGGCATTGGAAAACCTCCCTGGTCTTTGTGGTTGAATCTGTTTGAAATTCACTGCTCGACTGAGGGACCTTACAGATAATTGTATGTGTGGGGTATAGAGATGAGGTAGTCATAAACAAATAATGTTTAA